TTGTGATACATTGTGGTACATTGTGGTACATTGTGATACATTGTGATACATTGTGATACATTGTGATACATTGTGATACATTGTGACACATTGTGATACATGGTGATACATTGTGATACATTGTGATACATTGTGATACATTGTGATACATTGTGATACATGGTGATACATTGTGATACATTGTGGTACATTGTGATACATTGTGATACATGGTGATACATTGTGATACATTGTGATACATGGTGATACATTGTGATACATTGTGGTAAATTGTGATACATTGTGATACATGGTGATACATGGTGGTACAATGTGATACATGGTGATACATTGTGATACATTGTGGTACATTGTTGTACATTGTGGTACATTGTGATACATGGTGATACATTGTGGTACATTGGGATACATTGGGATACATTGTGATACATTGTGATACATGGTGGTACATTGTGATAAATTCTGATACATGGTGATACATTGTGATACATTGTGATACATTAAGATACATGGTGATACATGGTGATACATGGTGATACATTGTGGTACATTTTGATACATGGTGATACATTGTGATACATTGTGGTACATTGTGGTACATTGTGGTACATTGTGGTACATTGTGATACATTGTGATACATTGTGATACATTGTGATACATTGTTATACATTGTGGTACATTGTGGTACATTGTGATACATGGTGATACATTGTGGTACATTGGGATACATTGTGATACATTGTGATACATTGTGATACATGGTGGTACATTGTGATACATGGTGATACATTGTGATACATGGTGATACATTAAGATACATGGTGATACATGGTGGTACATTGTGATACATGGTGATACATTGTGGAACATTGTGGTACATTGTGGTACATTGTGATACATGGTGATACATTGTGGTACATTGTGATACATGGTGATACATTGTGATACATTGTGATACATTAAGATACATGGTGATACATGGTGGTACATTGTGATACATGGTGATACATTGTGGAACATTGTGGTACATTGTGGTACATTGTGATACATGGTGATACATTGTGGTACATTGTGGTACATTGTGATACATTGTGATACATTGTGATACATTGTGATACATTGTTATACATTGTGGTACATTGTGATACATGGTGATACATGGTGATACATTGTGGTACATTGTGATACATGCTGATACATTATGATACATTGTGGTACATTGTGGTACATTGTGGTACATTGTGATACATTGTGATACATTGTGATACATTGTGGTACATTGTGGTACATTGTGATACATTGTGATACATTGTGATACATTGTGATACATTGTGATGCATCCATTCATTCGTCGTTTGCAGATGCATTTAATTGTTTGGACAAATATCTAATTCGCAACTGAAACAAAGCTTTAGAAATGTTTTCATGTCATTATAATGCAATGTGGAAAGTGGATAAAAAGCTCTGTCTTACTTATATAGAATGAGTAAAACAAAGTAGGGTTAAACTTGAAAAAAAGGAACGCAACAAAACAAAGAACGTGTCGGCAGGAAGCCTTCGTCAGCGAACAAAACAGCAGTAAAAACAGTACCGGTATAAAACTATTTAAAAATACAAAAATAGCACTTAGCTTAGAAGTCATATACGAGGGCAGCAAACGAATTGTGACAGAAAGTAAGTAAGTGAGAGATTAAATAGGGAAGAGGGAAAAAAAGAGGAGAAGTAAGTCCACTATCTTACTTAACTCCAAGCATAGAAATATATAATCCACACCTTTGAAAGTGATGATTTGAGAATGTTGTTGAGTTAACCTAAAGCAGACATTGAAGTGATCGTATCACTTTATGAAACCCACCCAAGGCATGCATTAAACCTAACTAAGCGATGTAGGAGTCAGCTAATATTAACCTACTAACGGCCTAATCCAAATCCTACTGTATAAAGATGTGTTCATCCAGTTAATCCATTTATTAGTAAAACAATAAACTTAAATAGCTTTTTTAAAATTGTTTTCACAAAGTTTAATTATGTGCACAACTGTTGTATTTTATTATGTTATTATATCTTACACTAACAGAGGTTATTGGGAACTGGGTTCAAAGTGGAATGGGTTAATGGTTTTAAAAAAGGGCGGGGGATCGTGGCGATGATCACAAAAAGTTTTAGAACCATTGACTTACATTGTATATCAAATTAGGTATAGTTTACGAATTATAATGCTATATAGAGTTACAATTATTATGTGCTTGTAGGAGGGAAAGTTGTTTTCAGAATAAGAGATGTCTTTGCCTGCATAAGTCGCAAAGGGATTTACACCATGATTTGCAAAAAGTGCGGTAAATTATACGTCGGAGAGACAGGCAGTCCGTCGCATTGGAGACCGGTTCAGAGAACATCTCTATAACATAAATAAACAAGCTCTGTGTTCGGTCTCCAAACATTTCTATAGCCCTAACCAAGGTGGTATCTCAGACATCGCAGTTTCTGGTATATTGTATACTAGTAACACAAGAGATAGAATCTACATGGAGAATAAATTAACAAGATTTGGTTCGTTGTCTCCATGTGGGATAAACCAAATCCACAATTTTACCTAGATGCCATGTCTTTTTCCTGTTTGGTTTTTACAATTGTGTTCAAATCCAATCCTTTCCACTTTCCTTTACTTTGTTTTTGTCTGGTTTTTGTGCCCTCTCCTATTTATTTTTTAAAATTTTTTGGGTAGGATATATATGTGTGTATATATATATATATGTATATATATATATATATATATATATATATATATATATATATATATATATATATATATATATATATATATTTTTTATATATTGTAAGGAAACCTTGCTTACTCTCTGCTATCTTCATCTATATCTGACATCCACTAAAAAAACAACTCAGGCGATAACAATCGATGATTATAGTCTTGTTCTTTATTAGGCTGATACTTCGCTTATACTTTCTCTCATCTCGCAACTCTGACTGCCCTCTACTCATTACCATCCGGCCGCGCTCTCTCTCGTCCCGTCCAGAGGTCCCTATTTATAAGTCCGTGGTTCATAGAGTTCCCTTCCCAGGTCTGTACTCGCCCCGCCCCTTTTTCTCAATTAACGCCAGGTTACCAAACAAACCAGACGTCCCAGGTAAATGCCCTGGTCAGTTGGCTTGATCCGACGATCGTGATCTCTGGTCAGCTGGCGCCGGCTGTACCTGTCAGACGGCCGGTCGCCGTCGTGATCCGAACTCTCCACAATCCCCGGCGCCTCCGGCGCCGTCGTGGTCCGAACTCTCCACACTATATATATAAATATCTTGTTATATATGTATATAATGTAAATTTAATGTACACATATTTAAATGTTTTGTTGTTGCATTGATGAAGGCATGTGCCGAAACGTTTACTTGTGTATTATGTATAATTATTATTAAAGCTTAAATTATATTGTTATATTGACACAAATTATTGGTGTCTAATTATTCTATTTCTATGTCTAATCTCAACCTTACGTTCATGACACTTCCCTTGTTAACGTCAGCGCATGACCTCTATTTTCTAACTAACTTCCTGTTCAAACCCACTTACCAAAAACAATAATTTATCTGAAACAAAATTATTATCTCAATATTTGATCTGTGACAGACTGCATTCAATTTGTGTAAATGAAATATAAGAACAAGGTATTCTGAACTTGAATTTATTAATTTTTTACTCTCCATTAATTCAAGTCTACCATACTTTGCTCTTATAATTTATTACATAAAGTTGGATTTTCCAAAACCAAAATTATAGGAAGTGAAAGAATTTATGCATTATGACTGCAAAAAATAAAAGATATGAGTGGACAAAATATTTTGTAAATACACAAAAAGTAAAATCCAAAGCTTTAAATCTGTACATAGTCATGTCAACAATCTCTCTCTCTCTCTCTCCCAAACTTCGCCATTCCAACTTCTCAAAAGAAGGATCTCAGGCGCCCTCCCTCTGTGTTACGTAAACTTTAAAACATTGTGATTGAGCGTGATGATATGGGTGGTGCTGGTGGTGTCGTGGTGTGGGGACAAAAACTTGTACACTAATGAAACCCGGTTATGACATTGAAAACCCCTAGAGACTCCGTCTCGAATAAAACTCAAAACTCCGGGCAAAAATCCTGAACACTTCCATTTGTCTGTTCTCGTTTGGTTCGACTTTTTGGGGATAAATTTGCATATTAATATAATGGTTAACTCGTCGTTGAGACATAGTAATTAGAAGGATTAGCACCCCCATGGAGAACTGTGGAGGCACTCTAATTTGCTAATCATTATCCTCTAAAGATGTAGCCTTGCAAATATATTCATATATACATAATAAAATCCCTTGTAAGATATAATTTATAATACACCTCTAGGTTTCCAGATAAATAAATTATTGAACATATTCAAGAAGCAGTAATCAGCGTTTCCCTGTTAACTGCTGCTAGCTAATCCAGGCCGCGCGTGCTGGGAAGGGAAGCCGTTCACTGTTGTGATACCCCAATCCCAGGGTCAATGCAAAGACAACCTTGGACGTTGTTTCATGTCATACAATGCCACATAGGCCTATATTATCAATTACATTTTTATTTATTTATGTATATAAATTATCATTTTATAAACAAAGCCAATGATGTCCGCATCACCCCAAAACCCCACCCTTCGCACAACCCCCACCCTTCACACAACCCCCACCCTTCGCACAACCCCACCCTTCACACAACCCCCACCCTTCGCACAACCCCCACCC